GCTCCCATTCAGGCTAGCAACTTCTACAATGCAGAGCCATGCCGTAGAACAAAGATAGATTATTATGTTCCCTAAAAGGAATGTAACAATCAGGACATCATAAAGTCCATGAGGAAAAAAAATCAAATTGTTATACATGTAGCTTTGCAAATGCTGATTCAATAAACACTACAAGTTTCATTGCTACTGTATATACCAGTAAGTAAACTATGGATACTTTTCACGGATACTTTTTACATATTATGGCATACTTGCTCACTTAAGATTAGGAAAATTGCAAGTCTAGTGCAAGAAGTACAGATATTACAATCTTGAGACTCAGAAATGCAAGGTGTCCTAAAATGAGAGATTTCAAGTGAGTGCTGCCAGTTTGGAACAGGCATAATCTTCTTTCCTTGTTTCTTTTTTTTTTTTTCTTTTTAATATAAAAACACTCTCTTCTCTCTGAAGAAAAACATATTTGATACTGTTTTCAAAGCACTTATAGCTATAAGAATACACTAGTCCCTTCCAATATGAGTTTCTAAAGATATGTCAAAGGCAAAGCTAAGTGGAGATTCAGGTAAAATCTTGGATGTGTTGTATGTGGTCTTTGGTCCCTGTTTTCAGATCCTTGAATTCAAGCTTCTTATTGATGACTGAATTATGAGTACAAGTCAGTTGTTTTCTATTAGTAAAATTTGTTGTTTTCTCATTGACTTCAGAAGAAAAAAGGTAACTCCTGCATGATTTCATCTTAAGTATTTTAGAGGCTCTGACACAAAAGTCTGCTGTCTGAAACAGGCCAGATATTTGATTTCTAGTTTGTTACAGGTAAGTTGTCTGAGAATGTGTTATCAATTCCTAGAAGGAGTTCATTTCAAATACTAGTGTATTTTCAACTGTTTCAAAGTTTAGGAACCCTACTTTACACACTCACCATATGTGATGAGAGCATGCATGCAGAGCACATGCTTTCTTTTTCATATAGCTTTGAATTTTATTACCTTTCAGATAAAAGGTATGCAGGAGAATTAAGTGAGATGCTGGCAGTGCGCATGAGCAGCTCCCTATATATCTGATAGTTAAGAATGTCTCTCCATGTCACTTACAAAGCTTTCCTCATTAACTTTGTAGGTCAGTCTGATGCTTCCAATAAGCAGTTAGTTTTGCATTTTCTACCAGCATGTGTTTACTTATGAGAACTTCTAAACAAAGTAAACACATATAATTGTAGGGCTACAGGTTCACAAGGTGGCTCACATTTGATTACCTGCTATATTTTCTTCTATTTTCCTTGCTAATGCTATGATTTGCACCTCAACATCCAAGTACACACCCATTATAGGAAGAAAACAAGCTATGCTTTTCCTAATTAACCAGTAGTCCTATAAACCTTCAGAGGCTGGTATTACCTTAGTATTTTACAGGAATATAGATTAATCAGTAGCCAAGACAAGAATAGAAGAGCCCAGCCCATGCAAAACTAGAAGTAAATCACTGGGCAATGTTTTTTGTATCCTTCAAAACATTTGATGACACAATGCCTCAGAGATGCTTGTGAACTTTGACAGAGAAGACTGTTAAGGAATTATGCTAGGAGGTAGCACTATATTCATATGAGACTCTCCTCATACTGCAATGCATCCAGGTTGTCCCAGGAAATCCTTATATATGGGAATTTGGTTTCCAGAAATGTGTATGAGTCAACAATGACAAGTTCTGATAGCTCAAGCCTGTGATAAGCATTTCCCCCGTGAATTCAGAATCATCTTGCATCTGTCTTGCACATGCTGACAGTCCATTATCTAATTAATTACTTCAGCATTGAGTCATGCCAAATGAGAATCGGTAACACTCCTAAAGACAATCAGATAACAGGAATTCAACTGTCAGCAACATCACTGCATTAGTTGTGATGCATCATTTATTTTTCAGATGACTAATTATTAACACCCATCATTCTCTTCTTCAGTAATGTATTCAGTGAGGACCCATAAGGTCCAGATAAATTCTTGAAACCCCCAATCAGTCATCCTAGATATACTTTTTGAACTGCATCTCAATACCTTGCAGGCAACGTGACATTATTATTTCTTATGTTTTGAAGTTTATAAACACAAATTCATTATTATTTGTGAAAAAAAGAGGTAGAAAGCTTTCAAAACCTCAATTAAAAACTCTAAAAATAATTTCTTTTATATGACTAAGCCGAAGATATTTTCAGAAATCTCTGGTGACTTTTGATTTTCTTCCTTTCTTAAAAATTTTCTCATCTATATATTCTTTTACTAAATATCAGCATTTAAAGGGGTCATACCCCTGCATAATCCTATGTTCAATAAATTTTTCACATAATAGAAAGGGAAAAAAAGAAAAAAAATTGAAATTCAGAACTATTAAATTCTTAGAAAAATAATATCTTAATGCAGTTACAAATATGCTCTAACTTCAGTCAAAATTAAACAATAAAATTAAAATTGTTCTTATTGTTCCTGTTAGAAGTGTTTTCTCAACATCTCCAGGAAGGCCTAGGGTGAAAACTATCACACTTGCAAAGGTGTAACTTTGTAACTTTGTAAGCTGACTCACAGCCACCATGGTACATGGTCTTGCAGCAATCATTTCCAGTAGCATATCTTTTAACCACAGTTATGACCAAAGACATAGACCCAGAACCAAAAGCTGTCTTCAGAGAGGCTGGACTAACACCAGCCAGTCACCTCTGCAGCTGTGCTCACTCACAGCTGTAGTAAGGCAGCTTTGACCTTGAGCTACAGCTGTGGCCTGGCAAAGGAACAAGTAAAACCTCATTAAGGAAGAAAGTGTGAGAAAGAGAAGAAAAACAGCTGTAGATAGAGGAATATGTTTGGACATGAGAAGAGACGCCGGTGACCTGTCAGGAGACAGGATGGGGCGCGTGCACAGAAGCTAGAGACCAATTAGTGATGAGATACAGACGTGTGAACAAGAACACTTCACCAATGACATATATTAGCACGTGGACAGAGAAAAAGTAGATAAAAAGAACAAGTTTGTTTATAATAAAATCTGTTGCCTGCCAGCCTGCAGTCTAAGAGCATCATTTAGGCTGCCGTCACACAGCAAAGTTTCATCAGCTCTGGTATCAACTGCCTACCTAAACTCCAGACAGGTGTGTGACATGAAGATGCTGACTTCAGAGGACTTCCCGTGCTGTTTATATTCTATTGCTACACGTGGCTTATTTGTGTGTGGCTCTGCTTACCCCTGGTACTGACAGGTTGCGCCACCCCTTCGACAAGAGAGTACTTCCCCTAATTTTCTCATTACACAGGTCCTGCCAGTTCCATGACATGTTTTCCTATCATTTCAGGATTTCCTCTTGCCTTCTGACAAAGGATTAGGCCATTATAAATTTTTCCAAGTGGAAGAACATTTCCCATATGCATGTCACTTTCAAAAGCCAAGCTTTTGGTGACATGGTTTCCCTTTCAGACAGATCCTTTCTGAAGCTAAATCCAGATTACTTATTAACTTCCATCTACCCACCCCTCTACATGGTCATCTGCAGTGTGTGTATATGTGTGATATTTCCTGTTTACTCTGCCTTTGTTGAGTAAAGTGGCAGGACAACAGATGTAACACCAAGCCAGATGTCACTGCTGCTCTGCTGGGAGGGTTTATCTGTCAATGCAACGTGACTTTCAGATTCAGTCACTTCTGAAAACACCTGACAACAACCTTTTCTGGCAGTAAGCACCTCTTGGTGTTTTGCAGCTTCACTGACTCTTCAGAACAAACATGGGGTGCCTATCCGTAGCCAAAGGATTAAGTTGCAGTATTTCCCTCATTCCGGGGCAGGGATGGGGAATAATCCCAGAGCTGAATTCCCCCACAGTGCACTTAAAAAAGGTAGCTTGGGAAGCAAATTTTTCCATACCCACTTGCAAATCAGACAAAGCACCAAAGCAGATGTGTAGCTACTATGCAGTTAGTAAAGATGGCACAGACCATTGTCATAGGTTAATGCCTATATATTGTCAGCTGAATGTATATAGAGATAAGGCAAAAGAGAAGAAATCAAACCATCTTGAAGCCAGTAAAACACAGTTACTGCAAATTCAGTTAAGTTCTTTGTAGAGCTTAATCTATGTTGGAATGACCCCTAGAGAGAATTGAAAATTGGGAAGGGAGTAACTGTATGATCATCATTCACAACACTAGATCTAGAGTCAAAGGAAGAGGAAGTGTGAAACCTGTTATGACGAATTCTAAGTAGTCTGCAGGTATTTTCTTTACAAAACATTGGTAGTAACAAGGTCACAAATCCGTAATCACAGAATCACCTAGGTTGGAAAAGACTTCTGAGATCATTGAGTTTTACCTGTGACCCAACACCACCTTGTCAACTAGACCATGGCACTAAGTGCCACATCCAGTCTCTTCTTAAATACCTCCAGAGGCAGTGAATCCACCACCTCCCTGGGGCATTCCAATGCCCAATCACCTCTTCTGTGAAGAAGTTCTTCCTAAGGTCCAACCTAAACCTCCCCTGGTGCAGCTTAAGACTGTGTCCTCTTGTCCTTTGCTAGTTATCTGGGAGAAGAGACTGACTCCCAGATGGCTATGCATATTTATATATGGTAAATAAGCATCAACTGCTCATGAAATGGTGATAGCATTTAGACCCTATTTTTTTTTTTTTCCACAAAAAAGAGACAACAGGCTTAAGGGTAATGACCACTTGGTATTTTGACCCCATTTGGAAACTCATTGACAGAATTTTGCAAGTTCTTCCTTCAATAAGCCATTACATCTGGTTTAACTCTTCTTTTTTTATGACAAGACTGTACTTATTCTAGACTTTCATGTAGCTTTCCAAGTGGCAATACAACAATCATGTAATATTGAATTTAGAACATCTACATGATTATACAAAGAGGCTTTATTTCAGAGAAACAGTAAGTTGTTATATGTATGCAATAAATAACTGTGCTTACAGATTCAATTTCTGAATCTTTTCACAAGAAATTCTGCTCTTAATACAAAAAAATATTTATTTATACAAATCCCCCAAAAACATCATAGTACAGAGTGCCAACATTTACATGTAAAGACCTTAGATGTCAAATCAGGTTTTCAGAGCAGTTTAAAAGTGGTTTACCACTTTTGATCGCATATAGTTTCTCATACAAACTCAACCTTTTAGATCTCTGTCCTTCAGAATTTCATACTTTTAAATCGTTCTTTAAGCACATCGGAATCTTCATCACTATCTGTACTACTGAAGTTTGTATCAAAATCCAGCTCATCCTCCAATCCACTGCTCTCTTGGCTGGTTTTAGTAGTCTCCCTCTCAGTTCTGCCTTGTCCTTTGTCAATCCTGCAGAAAGCAAGATGGATGTTATCATCACCCACTTCTGGAATTTAAACAAGAATGGGATGAAAGATAGAATATTATCCCAATATTTCATATCAATATGCGATGAATGACAGCAGGAGGTGGGAAGAAGAAGGAGGGGAGCAATAACCTAAAGTTACTTTCACATTGAATAGCAAAGACATAGAACACAGTAAAGTACGTATTTTATACATCCAAAAGTATTTCATATGGAAGAGTCTGTGAAGGAAAAAAATAAATAAATTAACAGCTTGATCACCTAAGCAACTGCTGAACAGCTGTTGCTGTCCACAGTAAATTAAAGTGTTTTATGAATCATGCTCAGTAAAGAGACAGTCAAAGAATAAAAACCCCCAAAGTCTAATAAATATACTGTGGTAACTGTGCTCAATATCAGTCCTTGTTTAGTTTTTCTGTTCACTAGTAACTGAATCACCCAGTGACAGACAAAATGCAAACAGTAAGTTGGCTTATGCATCTTTTATGATGCTCTACACTAAAATCTGTTTTGAAGTGCTTTGCTCCTAAGGAAGATGTGCAATTCACCCTTTGGTGTTAAAAGTCTTATCCGAGTACAACTTTTTTTGGCTCAGCCTCACTAACATCAATAAGCACTTCACCCCCACTTTCACAAGAAGAAAGTGAGGAAATTTACTCCTGCTGATTCCTGTTAGAATTATTCAGAATATGGCATAAAGTACAACAGCTTCTTGGCAATTTCCAAACAAGGTTTATTAAAAGGGGAAGAAACAGTGCAGTACTGAAACTACATAAACTATGAGGTACTTACGGAATTACTATTTCCTCTTCTTTTCCACATTTTGCACAAATTTCTAGTTTACTAGCACATGGCCGACAAATAATATGATAAGGATCTTTTACAGTCTTCTGGAGGCACTTCACACTGTGAAGAGAAAGAAAACATGATTAAAAAAATATTGTGGACACATATCAAACATTCTGTGTTCAAACACAATACAGACATATTCTTCAAAAGAGGAACAACTTGTTTTATGCCAGTTTCAAGTAAAACAACCAGTGTTCCAACAAGTAGCACTATCAATATCATTGCCTTTTATCTCCCTCCTATACCTTTTTCAGGAAGAATTATTAAAACAAGAACTGAAAAAGAAACACTAAATCAAGAATTTTTATATTTGAAGTGACAAAAGAAAGGTTTCCATTCATTTCAGTAGGCAGTTTTTATTTTTAAAGTTGCATAACTTCTTCTTCTGGTTTAATGATAAAAGTAGAATATGGTATAAAAAGGCACATGGATTTTACAAATAAAAAGCTTTCAGTTCAAACACTGCTCTTAAACTTATCAGCATAAACTGAGTCAGTGCTGGACTTTGTTTTCTATGAATGCAAGCCTGCATGGAAAAGCATTCTCAACAAATTATGTATCTCAACCTAATTATGTAGAGGTTTTGGCCTATTCTTTTTCAAAATACGATAAAACCCTGTAGATTAAGCAATTTCCAAAATGCTATGGCTTAACATTGAGCTGATGTTTCTAAAGCCTTGTATCTTTGGAGAACGTAACCCAGGACAATATACTCCATGTAATGCAGATGTCTTAGAAGTCACTTCTTGGTTCTCATGCCCTCAAAAGTCAATGAACTGTAACAGCAACAATATTAATGACTTTTTAATCTAATGAAGGTAAAAATAAAATACATCATCTACTCAGGGAACTGCACAAATACATTTACAGAACCTCTTCAAGCAGTTCCTGAGTATTTCAGAAGAATGCAACACACAAACACTGAGCAAGCTACTGTGACAAACCTGGCTGCATCACACACCACAGCCCAGCTGTGGTTTCTCTGGGTTCAGTGTTTCACTGCTGAAACACTGGCTGTTCTGCTACCACAGGGGGGTAAGGACCTGAGCAAATAAGAAGTATGCAGAGAGCGTCTACTTTGGAAAATTAAAATAATGTATAGGTTTGTGATAGGTTAAAATATTTATCATCTTTGTTATGCACTTATACAAAACCACATAATGCAGAACTGTGTGCAAACAATGCCAGCATTTTAATATTTAGGAAATTATAGTTTCTTACAGAAAAGGAGCAAACATGCATGTATCGCAAACATTTGTGAAGTACAAAAGTTAAGAGATGTGCAGATTCCTCTAGTACTGACTTGAAACAAGGACTTGGAAAATTGTGTTACAACAGGTCTAGTTTGAATTTTTATTCAGGAGGACACACTGCAAGTCTTGAAAATTTCCAGGTCCACAGTTCAACCATTTTTAACAGCAAAGAGGGAAGCAGTTGCTTTTCCTCTGTGTTTTCTATACAAAAGTTTAAGGTAAAAGAATAATGAATTAGAAAATTAATTTTAAGTAATTTATACAAATTAAAAATTTTTTATTGCTTATATATTGTCACTGCAGACTCCAAATTTGAAAAATGTTACATAGTAGCAGCTCCTTAAGTTTCCAAAACAAGAATATTTTCCAAAAGTTCAAAAACTACATGATCAGCAATTAACACAAAGTATCTTAACTCACCATTTTTTAGGTTTTGATAGTAGTTTGTACTTGCTGAATTTTACTCGCCACTCCAAGATACCTTTGCAATGCTGACATACACCATCATGAAGCTTAGCATTTATTTTCTAAGTAAATAAATAAAAACAAAAATACATTGAAGATTTCCTACTGTAATAAGTATAATCTTGCTTAGAAAGCATTTCCACCAATCGTATGATTAATACAGTATTTAGAAATATGTTTACTTGATCTTAGCATTAATAGTTTTACAAAACAGATTTAAGAATAAAAGAGCTTGGAAATATACCGTTTTTATCCAAAGAAGGCAACTCACAAGACTTAATATTTAAGTTATTATTACTCAAGTTATCACTATACTACATACTTCAAATAGCCTTAGGATTTTTTTCTCAGATAACAATAAAGTAGAATCTAAACACTATCTGCAGTCAAACCATTCAATCCCTCTCTAACCCTAACCTTCTTTTATGAAAAACTAATACATTTTTGCTCTCATGTAACTAAGATAAAATCCTCAAAATGGTCATTTAAACAATAGAGTATTTTCAACACAATGAAAAATTTACCTTAAGATCTCCAAAACATTTTGTTTTACCTTGCTTAGAAATACAAAATGTCGATTTGCCAATACTATTTGTGCAAGAGAAGTTATTCTGAGATAGGAAGTAGTACCAAACCACACTGCCACCTTAAATAACAGGCAACATATACTTGTATGTTCAACATAGTTTTATTTCTCCTCTATTTAAGAATGACATTATCTATCATATGGATGTTGTATTCATTCAGAAATTTAAAAAAGAAATTTCACAATTAAGAAATTGCATGTAATAAAAAATCATTGTGCCTTTTTTAGACTTAAAAATGGCTACCACACTAACATTACATTATTAAGATGGTCTAAACCACATCTACCTCTTAGAATACCTAAAAGTTCATTGGAACAGATTGTGTATTAATTTGGATTACAGTTCATGTTACTCTTTTTCAAATAAACCGAAAGTTCTATGAATATGAATATTCCACTGAGTATATTCTATGAATATAACATGTTCTGAAGTATTTTCCTGCTTTTATGACCCACAATAGCTTCTCTCTACTCCACAAAGTTCTACTTCAATACATCAGACAAACAACAAGCCCAGTTTTAAAAATACAGTATCGTATTCTACGTTTGTGGCAGAGAAAATGCTACTTTCAAGTGAGAGTATAATCTGGGACTTGTTTTCCATTGTCTCCATTTTTACTAAACTTCCGCCATTTGGTAGGAGTTTTCCCATGGTGTGGTTAACTGAAGGTGTGGTGCGCTCTGACAATTTCAGTTAAAATAAAACTATTTTCCACATTATCAATAACAGACTTTGCACATTAAGAAATCAAAGAAACAAGGTTTTGCAGACTGCTTGAATATTGAATACAGAAAGGTGTGGTTCTGATGCATCATGAATTACATTTTCCAAGAAACACAAACATTTGGCTAATGTGCAAACTTTCTGAGAAAAGAAAATCATCAGTAAGTTTTCAGCATCAGTAAGTTCTCTCTGTTAGAGGGCTCACAATTCAAACCACTGTGAGCACAGTGTTCAGTGTTTCAAAATTCATGCCATTCGAAGATAAGCCTTATTTTCAGTGCTTGACCAGCACTGAAGTAAGGCTCCAGTAAGCTTCTATCAACCTGCAAACTAACCTGAACTTTCCAGTTTTCCCTCTCACTCTCCTGACTTGCACTGATTGGTAATGCAGGAGGGGGGACAGACACAAACACTGTAATTTGTATTTCCAGGTGCTCTTTACTGTTTTCTGCTATTTTCTAGTATTGCTAGGGCAAAACCCAATGAATATCAAAGGACTGCACTAGTTTAAGCTGAAGACAGACAGTTGTCTTTCCAAAGGCACTCCTGAATGAAAACCACCTCATTTCCCACAACACATCCTGACACAATAGCTGCTGGCTGGGGCCGGAGCTACAGTACCAAGTGATGGAGGGACAGGCTCAGCCATGAGTAAGGCACTTGGAATGCAAGAGGCCAGGCTCAGGACTGCATGTGGCATAAACAGTGTAGAAGAATGAAACAGAAACTACTTCACCTCTCATCTGAAGCAAAACCAAAGTTTGTCAAACAGGCAGCCTATGATAAATTCTGCTTAGCATCTGCTATAGAACAAGGAAATATGCAAAGCTATTATTAATGAAGATTTATAAGGCTATTCCCTTTCCCAATACACTTACCATCTGGCTCCAGAATACACAACAATCACACAGTGATTTCTTTTTCTTATTTTAATCAGACTGAAACACTGGCCATCCTGAAAGCCCAAGATAGCAAGGATGGAGGGGCAGCATAGCAGGGCATAGGCAATCCAGGAGGTTCCTAGCATGCACTGATGACAACTTTCCAAGTGATTGAAGAGCCAATGAGAGGAGGTGCTATGCTGGACCTTGTTCTCACCAACAAGAAGGGGCTGGTGGGCAATGTGAAGTCCAGGGGCAGCCTGGGCTGCAGTGACCATGAAGCAGTGGAGTTTAAGATCCTTGGGCCAGTGAGGAGGGTGAGAGAAAGCTCACTGCCCTGGACTTCAGAGAGCAGTCTTTAGTGTCTTCAAGGACCTCATTGGTAGAGTGCTGTGGGATAGAACTCTAGATGGAAGAGGGGCCCAAGAGAGCTCGATGATATTCAAGGATTGTCTCCTCTATTCTCAAGAGCAATGCATCCCTACAAAGAGGAAATCAAGGAAGAAAACCAGGAGGCCTGCATGGATGAACAAGCTCCTGAACAAACTTAAACATAAACAGGTAGCTCAGAGAGGGTGGAAGCAGGGAAAGGTAGCCTGAAAGGAATACACAGAAATTGTCCAAACAGCCAGGGAGATGGGAAGGACAGCTAAAGCACTGGCAGAACTAAATCCGGCCAAGGATATTGAAGGTAACAAAAAAAAGTCTTCTTTAGGTACATCAGCAGTAAAAGAAAGACTAGGGAAAATGTGGGTCCTCTCTGGAAGGATGCCGAAGACCTCATTACTCAGGACAAGAAGAAGGGATTTGGACAGTGGGATCAAGTGCACCCTCAGCAAGTTTTCCCATAACACCAAGCTGTGTGGCACGGTCAACCCACTGGAGGGAAGGGATGTCATCCAGAGGGATCTGTACCTCTTGAGAGGTGGGCCTGTGTGAACCTGTGAAATTTAACTAGACCAAGTGCAAGGTGCTACACCTGGGTCAGAGCAATCCCAAGCACAAATACATGGTGGGTGGAGTGCAGCTCTGAGGAAAAGGACTGTGGGGCTGCTGGTGAATGAGAAGCTGGACATGAGCCGGCAATGTGCATTCACAACCCAGAAAGTCAACTGTATCCTGGGCTGCATCAGAAGCAGCGTGGCCAGCAGGTCAAGGGAGGTGATTCTGCCCCTCTGCTCCGCTCTTGTGAGACCCCATCTGGAGTACTGCATCCAGCTCTGGGGTTCTCAACATAAGAAAGACATGAACAAGTCCAGAGATGACCCACTAAGTTGATCACAGGGCTGGAACATCTCTCCTATGAAAACAGGGTGAGAGAGTTCGGCTGTTTAGCCTAGAGAAGGATCCATGGAGACCTCAGAGCACCTTCCAGTATGTAACAGGGTTATAAGAGAGGTAGAAGGGACTTTTTACAAGAGGATATAGTGACACGACAAGGAGAAATTACTTCAAACTGAAAAAGAATAGGTTTAGATCAGATATTAGGAAAAAATTCTTTATTGTGAAGGTGGTGAGGGATTAGAACAGGCTGCCCAGAGAAGTTATGAATTCTCCATTTCTCAAAGCGTTTAAGGCTATGTTGTATGCAGCTCTGAGCAACCTGGTCTAGTGGAAGGGATCCCTGCCCACGGCAGTGGGGATGGAACTAGATGATCTTTAAGGTCCCTTTCAACCCAAACCATTCTATGATTCTAAAATCACATTTATGTGTGCCAAAAATCACATTTAGGATCCTGATCAAGGCATAAATACACCTGGATTTTTCAACCTTGTTACCTGCAGGACCATAAATCTTACACAGCTACTCAAAGAAATCACATAGCATCTGCTCAGAAGGTAACAAACTGGAAGAAAGAAAACAGCTTTTAAGTTCTAATTTCCTCCTTCTAACAGGCATACATACAGCCTCTTCCTCCCCCTCAGCAATTTCCTGCATTTTTTACTCAATGTTGACACTTTAAGTATGGGACAGTGTAGTTAATCATTGGCTCAGCACATCTGAATACAAGAGAGATTATGACTCTACAATCCCTCTACCAGACTGTTGGTTTAGAAAGTCAACAGAGAATGATGGATTGATGTAAAGCAGGCGATTACAGAGCTTAACCTTGACTTGTGTTTTACACAAGTGTCTTTTACATTTATTTTGATCAGAAAAAAAAGCATGATATATAAATGCAACTATTACTAAAAAAAGTTGACAATTTACTGTGGTTTTTTACACTGAATACAATATTTTCTTTGACAAAAAAAAGGTAATATACCACTTCCAAAAGCAATGCAGACTAAAGAAGTTTAAAGAAAGCTGTCCCTAATGAAAGATTTCAATAAGCTGGTTTTTTGGATTTTTGAAATCACTAAAGAACATGTGAGAGTAAGTTCTCCTAACAAACTGGAAGATAAACTTTTCTGGTTTCTAAGTTCCCAGTCAGAATGGGGAAGTCACCAGTAAAATCAAAGAAACCCCTCTGCTGCTTACTTTTCCTATTAATAGTCACCTATTATCCTATTATATTTTGTATATTGTTTAAACTTTCATGTACTCATATTTTCTTCTTTTGCCCATTTGCTTGCTTTCCTTTAAGGGTATAAAAAAACCAACAATCACACAAACAGCTGCATAAGGCTTGTCAACTTCATTATTCCCCTCCAACTTTTCCACCCAGCTTTTACACCCAAATAGGAGGTAGTGCTTGTGGTCTGAAATTAATTTCTTGGTGTGAAAACTACTTCAACAGGTTAGATTATGTTTCTGTCACAGCAGTTTTTCTGGGATTTTCTTTATGCTTATTTCCCTGTTTTAGACAATAGTGCTCTCTTTGCCATACTTTGCTTCAATGACAAGTGCAACTCATCCAGTGCTTACAG